ATTTTTCTTAGTTTAAATTTGCTAACTTAGTTTTATTTGATATTGTTTGGATAAAATTAATTTGCTATAATTTTAGTACCTAGTAAACTTTTAGATCAATTCCTTGTGGGATCGATACTCTACTTGCTAATATACTGTCTGTTCGATACGTATACTTGCGTAGTGAAATTTTAACTGACAGACACTCCACATCTTGCCCAAGTATTCATGTGGTATGAGGCCACATGTCCTACCCTTATCACATGTGGTATGAAGCCTCACATCTGGTTTGAGCACTCATATGGTATAATGCCCCACATCTAGTTTGAGTATATGTGTGGTATAATGCCCCACATTAGGTCATTATCCCCGTGTGGTATAATGCCCCACATCTGGCCCTTTTTCACTCATGGAAAAATTCATACATGCTTAAGACATTATCATTGCATAACACTCAACACAAACATTCACATATGAACCATACCAATAAACCTTACACAATCACAAGTGTAAATATAACAATGTGCAACTCATGCTCATTCAACAAAACCAATATATATATACACTATTATCATCAAATCACCAAACATAGGTGTGATAACATTCAACATATAAAAGAGAAGTCAATTCATACTTATCATGACCCAAATCCGAGGCATGACTGGTGCAAGAGTATCAATGGGAGTGGCCCTCTTAACCTATGCAAGCCTCATGATGAACAATAAATCAATAATGATATGTCCCTCATGGGAACCATCACCATGGAATCGTATGCAAACATATATAAGCTTGATTATATCATATAGCAAAAATATCATATCAATTTAGCACACTCGTGCTCATAATGCGGAAGCAAAATAAATTATAAACCAATGTATAGGCCATCCTATGGCGAGTACAAAGCATAAGCCATTTCTTGGCAAACATCCATCATGTCAATTATTACATGATAAAAACAAGGTCACAATCCATAACAGTCAAATACAAAGACTAGACTATCAGGTCATACACAGTGGAGTACGACTCAAAGTGAAAAGGCTGACACCTATTGGAGGCCATGACGATCAGCTATCAAAACTAACTATAAAAGTAGATCTCTCTAAACAATATCGAGCTAAGTAATCTGCTGATATAAAATAACAAGTGCAGCTTACGTGTGTAAGTTATAAATAACTCCATGAACAGACATGGGGACTGGAACAAGCTATTGGGGAAGAGTGTTTAACAAATACACTTTCAGAAATATGCAATTAAATATTTATCAAATGTTTTGCAAAACCTACCTTTCTAGGCATAACCATAAATCAGCACTAGCCTTTCCAAGCGTAATCATAAATTGAGTCTCACTTTTCCAAGCATCATCATTTGGCAATCTATCTTTATTAAGCTTGTCACATATCCACATGGTCTCCAAGTTCGTTGTCTTTCAAATGAATAAAGGACCATTAATCCCATACTTTTCAAGTTTGTTGTCTTTCAAACAAATCAAGGAATGTATGTTCAAGTAACCTCCAAGACCGTCATCTTTCAAACGATAAAAGGATAAAAAATGTTTTCTGAAACATAGCTGGTAAAATAGTTCATAAACATTTAAAATAGCATTAAATGTTTAGAAAACAATTCAAGGTGTTTGGTTAAAATCAAATTAAACAATCAATTTAAGAGTGTTTGAAGCATAAATCGAGGTTTTCAAAGATTTAGTTGTAAAACAAATTCATTTCCTCTTTAGAAAATCTTTCGAAAATATTCGAGTTTCAAAATAAGCCTGATATATCGATACACTAGTCCCATGTATTGATAGATTGTCCCCAAGTATCGATAGATTTGAAGCAAAATGCATGTATATCAGTTCTGTGTTGAATCTATCGATATGTAGCTGCAATGTATGGATAGATTTAAGACAAAAATGCACATTTCCAGCCTAAGACTCATCATTGGGGACCTCAACCAAGACTAATACTAATCCATAGTCAAGTAATCAATATTCAAACATTAAATAACATTCTCACTTATACAAATTCATCATACTAGTCATCAAGTCAAACAAACCATGAAACATTAGCCAAGCTAAATCACCTAGTGTCATCACATTAGATCAGTCCGGTTCACATAGACACCGACCAAAAAAAAGTGTAGGAGTCAATCACCTACCAATACCTAGTGAGTCCCAAGAAAATACCTTAACCAGTTTAAGTTGTAAATCCTTGTGAGTCTCTGGATATAACCTCAATCGACTAACCAAAACTCATTGTGCGCAATGGTTAGTGCTTACTACCACTAGCTACAAGTCCTT